CGATATTGAAGGTGATAATAGCAATAATACAATAATAAATTAAAGATAATGTTTATTTTTATAATAATAGTATTAATTAGTAATAATAATAATACTTATAATACTAGGCCTACTTAGTAATAATATCGATAATAAAGGTGACAACAACAACAATAATAATAATAATAATATGAGAAAAATACCAATAAAACACCAATAACAATAACTTTTTAAATTACTATTATTAAAATAATAATACTAAGACTAATAAATAATAATAATAATAATAAAAAGTCGAAAATTATTTATTATTTATATGGTACTGTAATAATAATAATATCAGCAAAAACTTGAACAATATATAATGTTAATGCTAAGACTAATAATTAATATTAAAACTAACGGTAATAAAAACAACAATAATAACGACGACAACAATATTACAGCAATAATAACAATAAGTATAGTAATACTTAAAGAATTAATATTTTATACTTGATGAATTACTCCTTCAAGTGGTACCAGTAAATGACTTGTGGCCGAGTTGACTGTAGCCAAACTTTTTGTGGCCGAGTTGACTTGTGGCCGAGTTGGATCGAATTCGAGAGGAAGAGGTACTTACCTGGTAGGCACGCAGGCGTACTGTAAACTTCAGTCAGTACTGTACCAGTAGGCCTAGGCACTGGTAACTCACTGGTACAGTACTGGTATAGGGATCACGTTCGATTCATTGACCGCGGGTATAAAGCAGAGGTTGAATATTATTTCATGATACGAATCCACAGTGAGGATCAATGGATTGTATTTGATCAAAATTTAATATTTTCCCAAAAAAGAGTATGATTGTAATTTAAATGGGGGGGGGGGGGGGGGGGATGTTGCCAGGACTTGCCTGCTGGCGGGTTAGCTGTAAACAGTAGGTATAACAATATTAGATGAATAGTGGTGAACTCGACAGTGGGATTTAGGGCTTAAGATCCCCAGTCCTTTGTTGGTGCAGCCATGGTAAGGGTAAACCTAGTGGCCCTGATGGGGTTCAGATTTAGGTACTGAGCCTCGGTTGTGGGCTGACTGTGTAGGCATTTTGTGATATATTTCTAACTGTAAAGAGATTCATTATATTCAACTGGTATCATACAATTTCTGTGAAATGCGCATAACAATAACATGCTGTACTTTTTATTTCCTATCATTCAGTAAGTCTCCAACAACTAAAAAATGGTCATATTCATATTTATTTTGATTGACATGATGTTCTAATCGAAGACCTCACTACTACTCTAGGCTAAGAGCCTATAGCTGGGCCCTTCTACAGCACAGTAGTTTAGGCATTGAGTAGGTAGATGCAGTAGATTAGTACAAGAGTACTGCTGATGTTTATGTTTGATCATATCCAGTAGCGTATCTAGGGGGTGCGTGGGGGACGGTGCACGCCCATCCAAAAATTAGTCCTGCCATCCCCCCTCCCCCCCAAAAAAAAGAATCACTTGCAAGTAGTTTAAAATCACCTTATTTTTGCAGGTTAGCGCCCCTTAATTGATCGTCCCCTAATGCTCCAATGATCTGAGCATTTTAAATTTTTTTTTTAATGATTTCAGGGAGTGTTTGTTGACAATACTGGGTGCATAAACTCAAATATTTCTATCAAAGCTACGTACAATTTAGTTTCAATGTATGTTAAATTTGAGCACCACCCAAACTACAATCTAACACAAATATTTCATTGAACAAACAAAAAATGAATAGGCCTACTGATCAATTTTTATTGACACATCAGTGAACTACCTGTATATAATGTAATTTTGCTTTACCATCCATATAATGTATATCTACTTGTCATACTTGTATATATTATTTTTAGGGTCTTATGGTGACAAGTGCTCTTACATTTCTGGATTGTGATCCTCTTTACAATAACATTGTATTCATAATAAACGGATAACACGGGCAATGTTACCAAAATCAAACCTAAAAGTACCTGGAATCCCCCTGAGAATCGTTGCCCAGCTTTAGAAACTTTCATTCAGGCCTTTGAGGAGGACGTTAAAAACCACACTCCTAGTCCAGATTTCCGCGACAATCTCACAAAAAATGAGAGGCAGGCCATCGCCAATTTGCGTCAGCGTGATGATATTATCATCAAACGTCTCTTATACACATCTAGATGTGTATAAACCAGCTGATAAAGGCTCTGCCACTGTCGTAATGGACATTAAATTCTATGAAGAGGAGTCCTTAAGACAACTAAACAATCCTCTTCACTATCGGAAGCTCACAGAGGACCCCCTCCGGAAATTTATAAGGAAGTGGAAAAATCTGTATTAAAGATGGTTAAAAAAGGTTCCATCGATCCCAAAGTTGGACCCCATCTCATCCAGGATGATCCGGCACCAGGACGTTTCTATGTCCTATCCAAAATCCACAAAGCAGACCATCCTGGCAGACCCATTATTTTGGGCAACGGTACTGCTACAGAAAAAATCTCTGAATATGTGGATGATTTATTGAGACCGTATGTTGTTGCTCTCCCCTCGTACATTCAGGACTCCACGGACTTTATCCGCAAAATTAACCAAATTTCAAATTTACCTAATAATACTGTTCTGGCTACACTTGATGTTTCGTCATTATATACTAATATCCCCCATGAAGAAGGTGTTAATGCGTGTATTTCAAATTAAAAGCAAATTCGGGGCAAAACACCTGGATCTAAATCACATCTCCGTGAACTTATCATGCTGATTCTGAACAATAATAACTTTGTTTTCGGCGACGGTCAAATTCATGACACAGCGATGGGCACCAAAATGGCTCCATCTTTTGCTAACTTATTTATGGGACAATTTGAGGCCAATTTCCTGTCCCTACAGCCCAAAAAACCAGATGTTTGGTTTTGTTGCATTGATGATATCTTCATGATCTGGACCCATGGTGAAGATAGTTTGGATACGTTCCTATTGAACATTAATTCGGCTCATCCCACAATCAAATTCACTGCTAACAAATCCACAAGCAGTGTAGATTTTTTGGACATCACCGTGACCATGGAAAATGGTGCACTAAAACTGATCTCTTCCGTAAACCTACGGATAAGCATATGTACCTGCTCCCTAGCAGCTGTCACCCCCCGCACTGTACAAAAAACATTCCGTACAGCCAAGCATTGCGCATGAGACGCATTTGTTCTTCGGATTTAGATTTTCAGAATCGAACAGAAGAACTATCTAGACATCTCCGGGATAAAAATTATCATCGAGGACCCATTGAAAATGCTATAAAAAAAAAGCAAAGGACATACCTCATGCTCAAACACTGACGTACAAACCACATCAATGATCGACCAGATTGCCACTTGTCACTACCCATCACCCTAGGTTACCACCACTAAGGGCTTTTAATTCAGAAACATATGCCCATTCTACAGACCACAGAACGTCTTAAGTCTGTTTTTCCGGATACACCGTTCATAGCCTATCGCAGACCACCTAACCTTGGTGATATTTTAGTACTATTTTTATTTCTTTCATTTCTATTTTCATTTTATTTAAACCTAATCACAATCTTTATAATTTTTTTAGTTGTAGTTTATTATAATAATATTTAAATTTAAGTAATTTATGTATTTTTCATTTACCATTGGTAAGCTGATCAGTGCAAATGCGTTGTTACACTCTAGGGCCCTGTATTTTGTTCTAAAACCAAATGAACCGATTTGCAATTTAATTCTAGAAGACTAAAATGAAATTATTTGATCATTGATATCATCATTAAAATTCACTATCTTATTTAAAATATCATAACAGATGTTGATGTGTAAGATTAGGACCATTTATTGCATGTTTTCAAATCTGATTGGAAATAAAATAAATTTCTAGGAACATATGTCTAGCCTTGTTTCCATAAAAATTGCAACTCGCTATCGCTGACTCTTTGGCGATGCTGATTGGTCAGTTGAATCAGTGCGAGGATAGCACTGGAAACGCTGTACTGACAGTGTAGCGCTTGTACAGTATGGAAATCAAGCTTTCGTCTCTTCACACAAATGAAGCAGGTGTGACTGGCAAGAATTTGTCTTTGCATGTTTTGATTATTATGCAATTGTTTGTTGTTATTTTAGTGTATATGTTTATGCATTGGCAGGAAAACGAGATTTATTATCAATGTTGCATGTTGAGGACAGAAAAGTTTTATGATTATGTTATTTAATAAATTTTCTGTGTACTGTAGTTTCTAATTAAATGAAATTTGAGTTTTACCTAGTTGAAATGTTCTCTCTCTACATTAAATATACAATAAAACTTGTTGATTGTATGAAATAAATACATTCATTGTAATTATTTGCAATTTGTTGAATTCCCATTGTTTATGAAAATAATGCTATTTTGTTTGTTTTTTTAGGATAAAAATGGAACCATTGACAAAGATGAATTAAGAAACCTTTTTTCATTGACATATTACCACATTTTCACCGGTAAGTGTTTTATGCTCTGAACAGTAAGTGATATATTGCCAACATAAGAAAAATCTTGAAAATTAAAATAAATGTTTGAAGAGAAAGAACTCAGAATAAGTTAAATAAAAAGAAAATTAGTTTCATATACTGAATTATAATAATTATTCAAAAATAACACATAGAAAACCATGATATGATTAATAAAAGAATTTTAAATTAGGAGTTGAGACAATTATGTGACATTGTAATTAATGTATCTAATGACCGAGCTACTGCAACCTACAACCATAATCAGCCCTGGTTTCGAATGGCACACTTGCCTATGGTTCTGGAGGTGTTTAGGTCTTCTCGGATTAGGACTATAAACTGTAGGCCCAGTATACTTAATTGGCTCATGTACATCTCTTGAGATAAGTACCAGGTTAACCCGGTGTACTGGACCATACGGCCCCATAGTTACCAAGCTGAGAACCGGTAGTTCAGGCACAAAATAGACCCTTAGGAAGAAGAAATGGCTACTCTCCGTGCTGTGTTCCACGCTTCAAGCCCCTTAAGACTCTAATCTATTAATATTATTATTATTATTATTATTATTATTATTATTATTATTATTATTATATAACCATTTACTCTTTTTTAGAAAAATGTTGGAAAGATATGTGAATGATGAGTTCAAAGCAGGTGATCGTGATTTCAGTAGTGGTAAGTGCTTGTCTTCAAATCCCAGGATTCTGGGTTCAAATTCTATCAAGTGATTAAAAACAAAAACATCCAATTCCTAAACCTCATAATGAGATTTAGTTTATATATTACATGATGTGTATGTTTGTCGTGTGAAAGAAATTACTACTTATGATATCCTGTATATTATTTATCACCAGTGGAGGTGTCTCCCCATTAATCTAGCACTGGGGCCCATTCGCATCTAGCTACGCCGGTGCATACCAGAGTTACTGTAATGTGCTTTTACACAATACCTTGAGAAAAACGTGTCCTAATAGGAAAATCCACATAGCTCAGTATCTGAATGGTAATTGGAAGGCCTTGGGTTCAAATCCCGGGGACAATATGTTTTTCTCAAAAATTTATCATCATCATAGTATACTGAAAGGCAGCGATTAAATCTTTGATAAATCAATGATCAGAACTAATATACCGACTGCTTCCACTAGAAATCTATTGTTTTGGTCTTTGTCTCCACTTCCAGGTATTGAAAAAAAAAAAGTGTTGTGTCGCATGATGTCTCAGAAATTCTGCCGGGTTCTCCGAAGTCTTTCAGTAGTCCAATAAAGACAGCCAGTTTAATATTGTACTTCTTAAAACAAGTTCGTAGAGCTGGTCTTAATACCGCTGAACTTGTTCATTTCTGTATCAGTACTATTAGACCTATTCTAGAATATGCAGCCCCAGTGTGGGGTACTAATATCACTAAGCAACAAAGCCAAGTTCTGGAACAGATCCAAAAAAGAGTGCTTAAGTGTATCCTTCCTGGTGTTATTTATAATGGAGCTCGGTCTCTGCTTGAAATGCCAACATTGGAAGAGCGACATGTTCAACTGTGTAGGGATTTCTTTAACAAAATCAAGGATTCTAATCATAGATTAAACCATTTATTACCTACAGCCCGCAATTCTAAGTACAATCTTAGAAGACCCTGTCTATTTACTATCCCGAAGGTCAACACAAATCGATCAAAAACATTTATAATCAATCATGGTTTGTTCCAAAATTGGTAACCTTCCCTGCACAGTCAAAACTTCCGTTCTCCTCACTTTCTTTTCATGATGCTTTTGTGAGTTTCATCGTGTTTTTGGGAAACCATTTTTGATGTTAAACTTCAATCTCTTTTTATATTGATGATTGCAATAAAGTGATTTTGTATTTGTATTTGTACTGAGTTATTAATTATTTTTAATTAATTTGCAGGTGCATCTAGCCCAGATTGGAAGGACCTACATGATATTAATAAAGAAATTGGCAAACTTAGTTACAATACTAATAAAGATGATTCCCAAGAAGATGACTATGATGATGATGATGATGATTATGAAGACGATTTTCAAAGGTAATTTGATTCTGTTATTTCTGGATATAGGGTGGACCTCAAACTGCTTCCCTCTCTCTCAAGCCATTGTATATGAATGTCATATACCATAGTATTTTTAATCAGTTAATCATGACATCATTTTATATTCCACATAATTTGTTCTATATCCCTGTGTGTCGTTCGTCCGTTAGTAAGAATCACAGGAGCTAGAGCTACACATTATTTTTAATGTAGCTTCCTTTAGCGAATAATCGCATATAATTGATTCTGGTAGCTGTTATTGACTGCAACAGTCGTAGCAGGGTCACCGATGAGCAGGTTAACAGCATACGCCCCCATTTATACTTCTGGGTGAAGAGAGGCAAACGTAAGTAAAGTGTCTCGCAATGCAACAACCGTTGGTCTTGAACTCCCGATCTTACGATCAGAAGTCCAACACCTTACACGTTGCACCACACACTCCCACCTGCCTCCTGCTTCCTGCCAGGAAAGCCACTGTCACCAAATAGGTGCATACTTCCTACTAAGATAATGCAAATATATAAATGATAGGTGTGTGTAAGAAGTTTAAACAAACTTGTATACAAAGATGAGGACTAGAGCCTACTGCAACAAGCAATATGCTTGCTCATAGCGAAGGGAAACGTAAAGTAGATAAAGTGCAATATAATTTTGTTTATCTTTTTGCTTCATAAATATATAACTTATTAATTTAAGAAACAAATAAATTTACTTAATTTTTTTAGTTCCCAAGGCAGTCGCAGTCAATCACAAAGCCATGGAGGACCAAGAAGCTACAAGAGCTCTGAAGCTAATAGTATTATTGAGGACCTAGAAGTACCAGAGGATGTGTCAGATGATATTGACTTTTTTAACAGCAGTCAAGAAAAGGTACCAACTGTAACCATTAATTTTTGTGGTTTTATTTCATATTTTTGTATATTTAATTTTTTTTTTCATATACAGTAATTCGATATATTTATTTTATATTATTTTTATTGTCATTATTTTTGTTAATGTTATTATTAATGTTGTGAATATTATGTGTGCATTGTTGTTTATGTTTGATTTGTATCCAACCATGTAATGCCTAATTATGTACATTATATCAAGAATATCATAAGTTATCTTTTTTCCTCTTCTCTTCTTCAGTTTGATGATCTAACTGCTGATAGATCAGCATCACAGCTCAGTCAAAGTGGAAACTTTGACTATGTAGAAGATGTCCAGTTTACTTCATGACAAGAACCAGCACAAAGCTTAACCTTTGATACACTACTTGCTGCCATTTTTAAAAACTAAATTATTTGTTTATTCTATCCATTTGTCATTTTTTATATAATGTAAATAAGTCCTCCTTCTCCCCTAAAAATGAAAATGTGGTTTGCTGGGAGCTGTTGATTTTTGGGCTTTGCTGTTGGCTGCTTTTCCTCTTTATTACATCAAAAAGTAATTGAACTCAGCTAGTACAGGAGGCGATTAAATCTTCTACACCAGTTATTACTAACGTTATTAATATATCATTCAGCAATCATGGGATCTTTGATGCTCCAATTTGACGTGGCATGGGGAGGGGAAAGCAAATCATATTGGACCCTTGATGCTGTATAATTAAGTAGGGGTGGTGCCAGCACATGGGCCAGCATGGCACGAGCCCAACTGTTGGGGAGTTGCTCTAAGGTCTGTCAGAGGAAATATAATTGGAATTATTTTCATAAGCCAAGACAACTGTCCTCATAGTGCGATTTTTTGGCATCTAGGGGTGACATAACCTTATTTTTTCTCCTTCAGCCCCAACCATGGTGGGGGTGATGGTGTGTGTGGCCCATCTTCCAATTCAAGCACAGTTATTACAGTTATTTATATCAATGCCATGAAAACCTTATTTATTGTTTATTATTATTTTAGTCTGTATATAAATCTTCTACAGAATTGTAGTGACTTGATAAATTGATAAATATTTTGTTGAAATATATGAGGTTAGTATCGGTGTCCATTAATGTTGAATGATCAGGGTTAGTTATGAGTGTCCCCTAGATGGGGATCTACTTACAGACGTTATGTGTGTCCACTGGAGTAAAAAACAGTTAATATTTAGCCTGTCTCGTAACAATGTTCACAAGAAACGTTTATATTAATGAGAGTGATTTTTTTAAGTAAATGCCTATGTATTTTTTCCAAAGTATAGATTTTAATACTAATGCATTAACATTATAGAAGAATGTGCAGTGGGAGATTCGGAAGTGGGGCCAGTCAACCCGGGGCCAGCCGGCATGGGGCCCCCACAATTTTTCAAAATTATTTTTAAAAATAAATTTTTAAATATTCAAATTTAAATCTGAGAGTGCCATTTCCGGCCATATTGAGGTGCCATGATCATAAATTTTCTTACTCAGCCCCAAACATGGTGGGGCTTAGGTGATCTAGACCCTCCATCTGTGAAAGTCCTTGCTTGGGCCCCTCTATTTATGGTAGGTATCTACACTGTGGGCAACTTTGACACTGCCATTGTTAAAAGTTTTTCTCAGTGTTTTCAATACTATATATCAGTGGTGGCGCCAGAGGGAGGCCTACCTGTCGGGGAAGCACACACCCCCACTGTTGGGGAAGACGATAGGTTTTGTCGGGGAACAAACAAATTTTAAAAAAAAAATATTTACATGTAATATTCGTTTAGCCACCATTATTGTTTGTGTTAACTTTTCATCACAACATTAACAATAATAATATTAATAATAATAATAATAATATTAATAACAATTCAATGAGACTAATTAAAAATAATTATGACAAATGCTCATTTAGATATCCTCATGATGGTTTGAATACATCGTGATAGGTGAAGCAACCGTGACCATGAAAGCGTGGTTGACAGATTTCATGCAAAATTCCCAAAATACAGAATTTCACTTAATTAGATGGCTACATTGCATACTCTTTGTTTATTGTTTCATTCAAAATGTTTTGGTTTTGGAAGCTGATTTCAACATCAGAAAGCATAGCCTACATGAAGTCATATTATAGTAACTTGATGCCTATCAAATAAGTAATAAAAATTCGCCATAATTCATCAAATATCCGTGGCTTCCAGGGGGAGAATCCCCCTGGACCCCCACCGGGGCCCTATGCACCCACCCAAGTGAGACTCAATTCTCTCCACTAGCCCCCCCCCCCCGTCGGGGCCTTTAACCCCTCCGTCGGGCAGGTCCTGGCGCCACCACTGCTATATATCTTTGCTATTTGAAGAGCAACACTATGAGAAAATAGAGAACATGTAGTAGAGTTTGCCCTCTAATTCAAGACCACCTTTGGCACCTGAACATCTGGGGTGGTCTCAGTGTTTGGTATCCACTTGATGGTTAGCTTTGTGTAATAAAAGATTGTTAGTTGGTTCTTTTAAAAAAGTGGCCTTTAATTAGAGGGGTTTCGAATTGGAGGGTGCACTGTGGCTTACTTGGTCGTCAGTTCTAGATACAGTATGCCTCTTTCTAATTAAATGTCTTTGAGATCCTGATAATGTTTATGCATGGTGATGTAAGTATGCATGCCTTCCTTTATGGCATGTACCCAACACGGATTATTGAGGAAAAAACTGTAATGCACCTTATCAATTGATTGATTGTTCCCATAAGAATTGTCTTGTGTATATGTTTCCACTACTTGAATACTGCATGAATTACAGGAAAATATGTGATAAATTTTGGGAAGGATTGATTAGATTTTAGTAATAGGAGCTATAGTATTTAGATTGTTATTTTTATCATCACTATCATTACAATCCTCATCATCATCATCAACAACAATATTGTCACCACCAGGAGTCCACCATCCATATCAATAAACATGTGCATCGCTGCAAATACTTCACTAAGGAATACTTCAACACAAAAGATCTAATCGGTGATGCAGTCACCATTCATATATTTTTCAGGCACTCTGTAAAAAATATATATGTATTTTTTACCAATACTGCCCGCCACCATAGATTAGGCTTTTTTGGGGCCTTATGCAAAGGCGTGTTTATACTTGCAACGATATAATGCAATTGTTCATATAAAAAATATAAGGGGAAAAAGTGTTTTCACTAGGACGATTCCATGTATAAACAGGCCTTAAATCAGACGTCGTCTGTCGAAAGAATAGGAACGTTAATCTACCCACTCATGATCTTATTTAGAAGAAAAAAAATAGCAAAGGTTTTATACAGCTGAAATTGTAGATGACATGGACTGAATGCAATTTTATAAGTGCTGTCGAAGTAGCTTAAAGCTTGGTTTTCATAAAATCTCAACAGCTTTGAGGGAAACACGGTTAATGCATGGGGCAGGCTTAATTCCATTCAATTTAGCTATGTAACGAATCCCGATTTAACGTTGGGGCGCAGTATAGTGATTGAATTGGGAATGTCAATATCGAATTTCATTGAAACGGGGCTTAAATCATTCCAATGTTTGTAAGTGACAACTGTTTCTTAAGTTCCCAATAATGAGCTGTAAATATTTTGTACAGTTATTTCTGTGTACATAAAGTTGAAGAGATTTAAGAGCTACAGAGTTTATGAATAAATATGCAAAAGTCGATACCGATGGTTACATTGTAGAAGATATGTTTTATAATTTCGCATTTCGTTTACAAAATATTGATATTTAATCACATATTCGTGTTATATAATCACCCTGTTACGTCATTTTTACGATTACTGTACTGCGTCTTTAAAAGATTCTCATTGGCAAACTTTATAACCGTGCATATACTTTTGATGTTGAACCAGTGCGGGTATATACAGTAGTAGATAAAATGCTACAGGCTTTGTCACAACATAGAGGTACAGCCAATCAAGAAGTGGTACCGTAGCTCGAGATATTTTAAATGCTGGTTAAAAAACTAATGATTTCGTTTGTGAGATGTCCATGCTAAATTTACTTTCATGCTTTACTTACTTTACTGTCTCAATACAAACTAATACTGCCTTAATGCATTTAGACAAGCATCCCTAGATATGTCGCATCCTTCGGAAACAGGCTGATTATGTTAACTGACGTAGAAAAAATTATATTTAAAAAAATCTGAAATCAGTTAGATTTTATGTATGAACAGGAGCCAAATAAGAAAAAATAGTTCCGTCACCAATTAAACGGTGTTCGGGAAAATTAAGGGGCATCTATAAATAGGCCTATATGGTGAACAGAATTAGGGTTGAGAACCTTAGCGTTGACCTTGTTTGCAGCGTCTTTATTAATAATAAGGGCAAAAAAAAAATCTTTTTCTGGCCACGTTTTGGGAAATAAAAAAAAAATAGGTAGGTCAGTAGGAAAAGTTTTTTTTTTGACTAATAATGTGTATTGAAAAGCAAAACGATCGGATGCCGTCCCGCAAGATAGGCCTATTCCACCCTTTTAAGCTCATTAAAAAACGTTTTTCGTTGTAGTCAACGGAAAAAAAATATACAAAAATGCCGAACCTCAATTTTGTATATTGCCCACCACAATCATTTTTTTTAATTTGGCCTAATTTTCGACTAAAAGAGCGCATAATTATTATTGTAGAGACCTCTATGGGCTTAACATTATTACCACCGGTCATTTGATTAAGCACATAATTGGAACACATATTCAGGTCTCTGGGGTGAATTCAATAATGTTGCAGCTGTAATTGGCGCATTTTGTGTTTGAACCTCCAAGGTACCCATTTGTACTCTCGGTGGAGAGAGACAACCGTAGGTAAAGTGCCTTGCCTAAGGACACAAGCGAATTCACGACGAGTGTGATTCAACCTCCGACCTCAAGGTTGAGAAACGGAACCGCTCCTATTAAGAAGGCGTAGATCAAAGTACTTCGACACGTGCATATATTTTGTTTGGATGAGAATTGATTAGAATTTATGGAAAAGGCCTCAATAAAGAGAAAACATGAACACCTAAATTTCTTTTTATAACATTTTAATCGTACCATTTTCACTCTTAAATACTGTACTCATGTGGCATTTATCAGTGATGTGTACATTATATACGCACATACATAATATACAATATAAACAAATGATAAATATAATAATGACAGTCTCAAGCACTTTTATTGTTATTATTGTATCCATTTGTTTATGTGCAAACCTAATTTAAATATATATTATATATGTATGTATGTATGTATGTATATATATATATATATAGAGAGAGAGAGAGAGAGAGCACTGTTATTTTTTAGACCTATAGGGCCTATATCTATTTGTATCAGTGTTGTGTTTAAGCTGCCCACCAAACCTAATTTACTACTAGGCCTATACTATTTAATTTAAGTTTATTTTAATTAAGTTTCCTTTGAATTACACATTTAAACAAATAAATAATATTATCAGTACTAGAATATAGGAACATTTATATAGTACGAACTGTATAATTTTCTTTTAAACAATATTTTTAAATTAAGAAAAAAGATTAACAATCTGCAAGCGCAGCCTATATAAGAGGCCTACATCATTGCGTATACAGTCAGTTCGATTGACATTAACGCGGCTACTGACGCTCTGGTTTTGCTTTTGATATCTATCGTCTGTCGTTGCATTCATCGAAATCGGCTTTATTCCTAAAAAAGAAAAAAATAATATTGACATGCAATTAATAAATCACAATTAATTTTGTATTATATTATATAATGTATTGTAGTTCTTCATGTCTTATTTTGCTGATTTATAAACTGGCGCTGTACATCGGTAGGCGGCAACAAAATATGCCTATTAAATCAGTATTTTATAGCTCGGTGCAATCCTTGCACTGCGTAGCTGTCCCCGACGCAAACGGGAACGCTCCCTTATTCAACTGTCCAATCAGCGTCGCCAAAGGAGTCTGCGTTAGCGTGTAGCGACTAAAGCAACTCTAAGCAACTCTACACAAAAAAGAAAAACAAAACAAAAAACACTTCACCTTCGCGTCTGATGTGGACGCGAAAGTGAAGTGGGAGAGCTCGATGAATAAGTGAGGGACGCTAGCTCGCAAAATAAGGCGATATGAGGTGTTTTTAAGGGAGCGGATGCGTGCGTCCCACGCGCATCCCTTATACATAGGGCCTATGCCACTGGCAAAATATAGGCTAATTTTAGCTTGAGACTCCCCTTACTACAGCTTCAACAACAGATTAATTAAGATCACAATTAATTCACAGTATTATATAGAATTTTTATTATAGTCTGTGGAAATATTGGAGGGCTGTCGAAATTCCAAAAAAAAAAAAAAAAAAAACAGGTAATAAAGGTTCAGATTTTATAGAAAACATTAGTTTACAGTTGATTGAAAGTCCTTGGTTTCTACATACGTTTGTCTTTCGGACAAATTACCATTATTTTACGTTCTAACTAAATGGAGAAAAAAAAATGATTTTCTGAGCTCACCCTTGCTTAAGCTCTCCCATTGTCCTACCAGATCTTTCGTCCGTCTTTGGTACGCATGTCCATTCGCCGATCGTCTCACAACTTCTATACCCCTGTGCTCCACTCCTACACAATGGTCTGCCGCTATAGTCACCTGTATAAGTCGATAAGTACTTCATTGCTCGCATTTATTTTATATATGTATGTGTATGTGTGTATACATATATATATATATATATGTATGATATTCAAACATATATACATGGACATTTGTTAAATAGCTACAGGGTAGCCTACGATGTTCCATCATGTCCTTATCTAAACACTGCATATGTACCTTTGATGATTTGTATTGTATGTATATATATATGTGTGTATAAGTGTGTATATGTTGGTTTGTGTGTGTATATGTGTGTGTGCATATAAGTATGTGTGTACGTATATGTGTGTGTGTTCGCGTGTGTGTGTATTTATATGTATGTATGGGGTTGTATGTGTGTGTATGTGTGTGTGTATATGTATATATTATATATATGTATATATATATATGTATATAAAATGTAGGTCTACCTGATATGCGTTTATTATTAGCTTTTACTTTTTGTTTTGTCGGGGTCAAATTGAGACAAGCTTCGCTTCTATTTTTGATCCTAATTAATTAATTATTTTAATGTTGTCCACTTTATTTATCATTTGATGTATTTATTAATTAATTGAATAAATGTTAATTGAATTGAATTGAATTGAAAAAATTGAATTAAGTGATAAAATTGCTTTTTAATTAAAAATGGTGCTTAGAATGCGGGATATGTAGACTTTCAGTATAGTTTTTTATCGAACCTACCTCGGACTGCATAAATTAGGGTAGGCGTTGGCCTTGGTGTTTTTAAAAGTATATATACATATAGAATAGGCCTATATACGTTTTTCTCAAATAGTTATTATGATCTTTAATTAATACCAGTGGAGGTGTATCTCCATACCAAAATTACTTTAATGTTATATATAGTA